AATATGCTTCCATTACTTTGCAACTAAGGAGGCTCTATTGAGACACAATAGACACCATGAATTCACCTACAAGGGCAAATCCATATCCCTATTCCAGGATTTGGCCCCGAGCACATTGCAAAGAAGGAGGGAGTGGAGGCCATTGACGGATATACTACGGCAAAATGAAATCCGCTTCACCTGGGGCCACCCTTTTAAAATTGTAGCCTTCAAAGCGGGGAAGACAATCGCCTACTCCCCGGGAGTAGACCCAAGAAAATTCCTCCAGGATCTGGACATCACACCACCGCGAGACTTCGCTCTACCGGGACCGGCTCGACCGGCTGGTACACGGTCACAGCATAAGCGGACAGAGAGACCTGAAACCTGCAGCTGGACCAAACGGCCACGAGGTTCAAGGCAGCAAGCCCCACACGCTGGATAGATAAGTTCTCCCGGAGGATGACCCCACGACATCTCACACCATACTTTTTTACTGGACTTTTTTTTATTTTTATTTTTTTTATTCTTTTGTCCCAAAGTCATGGGCTGGGCCCTGAGGGACCCAACGCACAGGGACCGCTACCACTTAAGCAGACATACCATGATCTGCCAAATCGTAACCTGCTCCGCTTTTATTGGCGCAGCCTTTGCTTTTTTATATGCTGTTACATGCTATGTACCTCACGCAGGAGATGTCAGGGGCATGTTGTTGGGGGGAGGAGGGGGGGTAGTACTGACTGACACACTGTAAAGTACATGAACTGCTCGACAGCACGATGCCAAAGATGCAAGATAGACCCTGGGGGACTAAAACACACGGTGTCCGCACACACTGAGGGAGACGCACCATGATATACCAAACTATACTCTCTTCCGCAATTATTCGCTTTATCTTGGCTCGACTGTGCAACCAACACTAGATATGTCATTAGAGGGTAATCATGGGGGGAGCGGGGGAACAGGGCAGGCTGACATACTGCAAAACGCATGACAACCTAGACAACACGGTACCAGAGACGCCGAGGGGGCCAAATGCACGGAGACCGCATGCGCTGAGGGAGAAGCATAGATAGTAACACTACGCAGATAATACAAATCAGACGCAAGACAGGCCCACATGCTCGAGACGAAGTACAGGGGTTGGACCAGCCACTACTCGGGGGAGGGGGGGGGACACCCCACGAACCACTCACCACATATCATACCTCCTTCGGGAACGGTACCCCAGACGGTAGCACCAAAGACAAGATGGCACCCACGTACAACTGACGAGGAACCTTAGCTCAGACCCACCACACCCGCTGGTAGCATTGTGGGGACCATACGTAACTCCCCCACATTCCACTGACGAATTCACGACTCGGACAAAACGGGGGACCACACCATAGCGAACACCCAGTAACACATGAAGCTGTAGAAACCCAGTGCAGACAATGCAGCGGGTACTACAACCCTCGGTACCATCGGAGTACCCTAGACCAAGGGCCATAGCTCAAAGCTGGTTGCCAACCACAACACAGTGGACAGACGCGGGGCACTCACCAACTCCGAGGGGTGACAATCCACACATCACTCGGGGGGGAGGGGGGGAGGGAACCCCACTCTAATCTGGCACAGGTTAAGACCAGATGGTTATCAACTGTTTATTTTCCATGTATATATGAATGTTTATTGATAATGTTTTTTGATACTCAACCTTTCTTTCTTTCTCTTACACTAGCTTTTAAGACAAGTACTAAACTTCAATCCAGAAAAAAAGGAAGAAAAAAAACCCAAAAAGGGATGTCTTATATAAAGACCGCCCAGAGGGTAAATACCCAGTCCAATC